GGAGCCCTGAGACCCCCGCCCAGGCTGCCGAGCAGGGCTGGAGCCCTGAGACCCCCGCCCAGGCTGCCGAGCAGGGCTGGAGCCCTGAGACCCCCTGCCCAGGCTGCCGAGCAGGGCTGGAGACCTGAGACCCCCGCCCAGGCTCCCGAGCAGGGCTGGAGCCCTGAGACCCCCCGCCCAGGCTGCCGAGCTGGGCTGGAGTTCCTGAACTGGTTTCCTGGGGCTGGGGCATTTGGAGCACAGGAGGCTGGCATGGGCCCTGCCAGCCTCTGCCAGTAGCTCCATGTCCTCAGTGCTTTCTTCCTCCCCTGACCTGGTCAGGGGGGTAACTGGCGATGGCCAGAAACCGTTTCTGAGTGTTGGTGCTCAAGCTGCTTGGGGAAGTGAGCCCAGAAGAGCTGCGTGACTGCCAGTTCTCGGTCCACCTTTTGTCTCTCGTGCCTGGTGTGTTTGTTTGCTCATGGCCCCAGGTGTCTCTGTGTCTCTGCTTGTGTGTGTGTACGTGTGTGTTCACACGTGCCCTGGACGTGGAGGGAGGGTATGGTGGAGTCCCTCTAAGGTCCTGCTTCCTCTTTTCTGTGTCTCCTACCTCTGCCTGTCTCCCTCTTCCTTTGCCAGAGGTGTGTGTGACTCCTGTTCCTCCCCCTCCATTTCTCGTTACCCTACTCTTGGGGTGCCTTACCCCAAACCTCTTCCCCTCTCCTCCTCTGCTTCCTGAAGCCAGCAGTCAGCAGGAGGAGTGTGGCTTAGTAAGACCCCTGAAGGCCAGCCTTGGCTTGGGCATTCTGTTCCCCATCCCCAGCCCAAGGTTTCAAGGTCCCCTAGTCAGAGGACCCCACAGTGGCTCGTGAGAGAGCCCTGGCCTGTCCGCTCGTGGAAACCACGATGGTGGGCTGTGAGACTCGGAGTCTCTTGCCCATCTTCTGCCTCAGTGTGGAGAGAGGAGGGAGGAGGAGAGGTAGGTATTTCAGGGCCTCCTGGAGACATCACCTCAGAGGTCAAGGATGTCCCAGCTGTGCCGTGCCTGGGGGCGGAGCCTAAGCAGAGCTGTCATCCCTGTGGCTTCCATGTTCCCACCAAGGGTGTGCCAGTCTCATCAAGGGCAAGGGGACCAAAGATGCCTCTGTGTGTCCAGGAGAGCTGCATCTGTCCTCTCCTCCTTCGGGGCTGTGGAGGTGCTTAGGCTGTCCCCCGGCTCTGGGCCGGTGTGCCCCTAGCTGCTCCCTGTTCAGTAAGAAGACTTTTTCTAACCTTGCCCCTTCCCTCCTTTTATGTGGAGGCCAGGTTGTTTGGGTCCCGAAGGTAGGTGGACCGAAAGAGTCCTCACCGTCTGATTGGCCCCAGGAACTGCAGCAGCCACCTGAAGCCTTCCTGAGCCCGGTGGGGAGGGCTTGCTGCCTTCCCAGGCCGCACTCCGCGGAGTGTGCAGTGAGCGTTCTCGGGTGCCGCTGGGACTCTGTGCTTGCCTTTTTCCTGTTTTGCTACCTTCTCCCCCAACACACAATATTTGGGTGTTTTGTTTTTTTTTTTTTAACTATTTATTTAGACACAGGCTATTTATTGCAGATTGGCAAGTGACTTGAGGCTGTGGGTGGCTGGTGGTGGCTGGGATGGTAGAGTTGGAGGCATGGATTGTCTTAATTTCCCAAGGTTAACTCTGACATCCTCTCCTATCCCTGGCTGGGAGGGCTGCCAGCTCTACACTAGAACTGTGTGAGAAGGTCAGAGCTGGTACATTTGCTGTACTCAGAGATACAGGACACATACACTTCCAGCCTCTGGCCGTCCCCTCATCTAGGACCTGTCACTGGCAATTCAGCCCCAGCGTTGACCTCTTCATTGTCTGAAGCCAGCGGACACTGCCTGGGACACCCAGGGTACCCCTTTTGTCTCTCCCTCCTCCCTCCCTCTCTCCCTCATCTCCTTGCCTCTCTTCCTTCCTGGGACCATGCTACTGGAATCACTGCATCCGATTGGTTTCTGTGGGAGACCTGCATCCTGTGCCCACTGCTTGGTCCTTGGGATGAAGGCCAAGGACACACAGACTCTTCTTGAGTAGGGTGGCTCCCCCGTTGGGTGTTGCCCGAGGAAAGGACTTGTCCTCTGAGGACCTGCAGCTTCCCCCCCGGGAGCGGCCCCCAGGAGCTCCGGACGGCAATGGCTTTTGTGTTGGCATCCGTTCCGAGTCAGTGCTGTTAATGAGTTGTCTTTAATAAACCGTGTGCTCTTTATCATGTGGATTGGTCCTTCAATGGCCCGATGTGAGACTTTGGAGCAAGGGCAAAGTCAGAGTCTCTTCTACTGGTCTAAGAAAGACCAGGAAGTGCTTTCCAGAGTGCTGCCTCTTCCAGTTCAGCTGCCACTCAGCAGGAGATGGGTGGCCTTAGGAAGGAGGGCTCTACCAGTACGCGCTTCATTATTCATTAAGTTGTAGTTGTGTGTGTCCTGTGGGTTAAGAAGTCTCGCTGCAGTCAGTCCCATCATGTGGGTCCCAGAAATCAAACCCAGGCCACCAGGCCTGGTGGCAGGCAGATACCTTTACCCACAGAACCATCTCACCTGTTTCTGGCAGTGCACTGTTCTTTAGGTTAGTTAAGACTTAGTTTTAGAGACAAGAGTTTTGCTATGTAGTCCAGGCTAGCCTCAAGCCCTGTTCATCCTCTTTTAGTGTCTGAGGCAGGGGCCTCTGCCTCCTGAGTGTTGGCATTAAAGGCGTGTGCCAGCACACCTGGCTCAATCAGGAGTGTTTCATATGCTAACTGTAAACTCGGAAAATAATAAAATGTTACTCGCAATACCTAAGAGAAATTAAAGTTCTTATGAATTTTGTGCTGTTCATAGAGCCCAGGCCTTCACGCACATCAAGCAAGCATTGGATCTCTGGGCCAGAACCACAGCCCCATGAATACTGAGCGTTGTAAAGCCTTGGAAGAAGTTGATGGAGGTGCAGAAAAAAAGAGGGTACTTACTCTGCATTCCCAGGCTGGAAGAACTTCTCTCCATTCCCAGTATCTAGAACTCTGCAAAGGGAACGGGTGGGTTCTAGGTGTATATAGTTGAATGAATGAATCTTTTCCAGCTGGTGAGAAAATGAAAATTCCTTCTCCAGCTTAAACAACTCCCGGCTAAATAAGCCCAAGACTGGGAGTGTGGTAAGAAGGTGGTGATCTGGGATGGTGGGTGGAACGGTTCCAGCTTACCTAAATTTAATAGTAAATGAGCTGGGGATCCGGGAGTCTGGTGCACTAACTCAAGCCCAGCTCTGGGTAAATGTGGTCCCCATCAAAATTCCAGTGTGGCCACGTGTGGTGGCACAGACCTGTGGTCTCAGCACTCCACAGAGGATCCTGGGGAATCTGAGACCTGCCTGTGTAGTTCCAGTTTTCCTTGCCAGAAACAAAATTGCTATGGCATGGAAGTGTAGCTCAGTGGAGAGTATCTGCTTTGCTTGCCTGAGCCTGCACACACACACACACACACACACACACACACACACACATACACACACACACACACACATACACACACACACACACACACAGAGTCATTTTTCACAGAAAAAGGAAAGAATCTGAAACTGTGTTAGGGAACCATAAAAGATCCTAAGTACCTGACACAATTGTGAGCAAAAGGACAAAGCTGGAGGCCACGTGACTTTAAAATCCTAGTTTATGGTAATCAAAACAGCACGATGTGGACAGAAATAGATGACATCGAGTTTATTCCCAGCACTCGGGAGGCAGAGGCAGGTGGATCTCTGTGAGCTCAAGGCCAGCCTGGTCTACAGAGCAAGTTCCAGGACAGCCAGAGCTGCTACACAGAGAAACCCTGTCTTGAAAAACCAAAAAAA